GGATATTGAGAGAAGGCCGTACCACAGGAATTGCACCTGTGCACTGCACAAGTTAAAAATGGCTTGCCAAAAAACTTGTCCTCAGCGTAGGAATATATCCTTCTCTCAGAAACAGACACTGAACTATTGTTTGTTGTTCGTAGATAATGCTTCCAAGTTCTCTTTTCACGCTTCTTCTGTCAGGAATGGAGAAATTTCAAGCGATTAGGAGATAATACTGTTTCATTCATACGTTCTTAAAGCGCTCCACCAATTCCGACTTTCCATGATTCAGTAAACATATGACGTCCTAAGAAGAAAACTCATTTTAATGATCAACGTGCTTTTAGCTATCACAGGAAGCCAGATTTCGTGTAGTGAGGTAATAGTTTCCGCATTCCGGTGCTTTTCCAGATAATCAAATATGACTAGAGAAGTAAGTGCACTGGTTTTCAATATGTTCATTCAGATGAATTATGTAAAACTTCAAAACAAGGCTTCTTTTTGGCAGTTTGTTAATATCTTCTAAACTATATTAACTGGGTGTTCCTCTGTTCTATGTTCCCTATTCAAAGAATCATTATAGTTTACAGGTTTCATTATCTACCTTAACAAGAAGGGAACAGATCATTTACTAAAATTATCTGATGTATAAGTATGGATCTTTCAGAGAAATATTCATTGAACATACATATATCAGTATGTACTTTGATATTTTCTTGATGAATTTCTTTTGTTTTTCTTTCTGAAAGTTTAATTAATCAATGGAATTACATAGAATACTTCCCTGTTGATTTCAGAAAATGTACATGCCTCACTAAGAATTAAAAAGGCTACACGACATAACACAATTTACAAAGAAATGCATTGTTCTATTTTCAGTTATATAATATACTACATTTTAAAAGAACTCGTATATTAGTAAAATCATTGATAATATCGAAAACAATTAATAATAAGCTCTATTAGTTTTTATCTGAAAACGATGGTCAGCAATACTTTTCATCAATAACAGGTACCTCTTGTTGGGATTGACCAAAATAATTGTGGAATAAAGAATTTTTGTTTGACAAGAAAAGGAAAAAAAAGTGGTCAA